CATTTTAATTATGATTAGATTTTGAATTTTATCACATACTGCTTCAGCATCTGCTGAGATGATTTGTTATTTTCTTTTTTTTACCTATTAATGTGGTGAATGACTTTTAAAGATTTCCTAATGATAACCACCCCCTGCCTTGCATTTCTCAAATAAACCCAGCTTAGTCATTGTGTATCATTCTTTGTATGTACTGCTTGATTCGTCGTGCTATTATTTTGTTTAGGACTTTTGTACTTGCAATTATGAGTGAGACTGACCTGTAGTTCATTTTCATTTCTTGTGTTTCTCTATTTGATTTCAGTTTCCAAGTGAGATTAGCCACATAGAATGACGTGGAGAACCTCTCTTCATGAGTTCTCTGAAAGACTGTGTAATATTGGAGTGATTTGTACCTTGAAAGTGTAGTAGAACTTGCCTATAAAACTACCAGGCCCTGGTGTTTTGGTTTCGGTTTCTTTTTAAGAAAGTTTTGTTTGTTGGTTGGTTGGTTTGTTTGTTTTTACAATTTCTTTAACCTTTAGAAGGCTATTCAGGCTTTCTACATCTTGAGTGAGTTTTGGTAAATTACATTTTCCTGAAAAATCTTCAAGTTTTTAAAATTAATGCAGTAAGCTTCTTCTTAGTGTTCTGTTATCTTTCTGTTTTCTGCTGTCTCTGTAATTAGGTACCCTTGTTTATTCCTAATATCATTTCCTTGTGCCTTGTCTTTTTTCAACTTACCAGAGGTTTGTTCAAAAACCCACTTTCGGTTCTGTTAATTCACTCCATTGTATATTTATTTTCTATTTCATTGTTTTATGACCTAATTTTTATTTTCTCCTTCCTTCTACTTTCTATTGGTTTTATCTAACTTTTAAAATTAGACATTTAATTTATTTATTCCAGTCTTCCTTCATCTCTAATATATACATTTAAGACTAAACTACCTCTAAATATTATTTTATCTATATCCCACCAGTTTTGATATGAAGCATTTTTATTGTAATTCTGTTCTAAGTACTCTTATTAAATATTTATCATTATATTTTTCATTGACCCACAAGTTATTTAGAAGTGTTTTTTATGTACCACATTTAAGAGTATTGTCTATATCTTTTTATGTTTTACTTCTAACCTAATTATATTGGGGTCACAGAATGTCGTCTGTATGACACCATTTCTTTGAGGTTTGTTGAGACTTGCTTTATGGCTTTAGCACTGTAACCGTTTTTGTAAATGGTCCATGTGTACTTAAGAAAAATATTTA